TCCAACCTGGGCAACAAGAACGAAACTCCGTCTTTAAAAAAAAAAAAAAAAAAAAAAGCAGGGTCTCGTTCTGTTGCCCAGGCTGAATTGCAGAGGTGCAATCATGGCTCACTACAGCCTTGAACTCCTGGGCTCAGGCCATCCTCCCATCTCAGCCTCCTGAGTAGCTAGGAGATATGGTTTGGATGTTTGTTCCTTCCAAATCTCATGTTGAAATGTGATGCCCAATGTTGAAGGTGGGTCCCGGTGGGAGGTGATTTGATCATGGGGACAGATCCTCATAGATGACTTAGCACCATCCCCTTGGTGATAAGCGAGTTCTTGCTCAGTTCACACAAAATCTGGTTGTTTAAAAGTCTGGTACCTCCCCCTCACCTCCTTCTCACCCTGTGATATGCCTGCTCCTGCTTTGCCTTATGCCGTGACTGTAAGCTTCCTGAGGCCCTCAGAAGAAGCCAAGCAGATATTGGTGCCATGCTTATACAACCTGCAGAGCCATGAACCAATTAAAGTTCTTGTCTTTATAAATTACCCCTCCTCAGGTATTCCTTTATAGTAATACAAGAACAGCATAATACACTGAGACTACAGGTGTGCACTGCAACACTCAACTAATTTTTAAAATTATTTTTAGGGATGGGGTCTCACTATGTTGTCCAGGCTCATCTTGAACTTCTGACCTCAAGCAATCCTCCTGCCTCAGCCTCTTAAGTAGCTGGGATTATAGGCACAAGCCACCACACTTAACAATAGTATCTTTGATGTACAAAAATTTTCAATTTTGATGAAATCCAATTTATCTATTTTTTTTCCTTTTCTTGCTTGTACTTTTTTGGTGTCATATCCATAAGCTTGTTGTTAAATCCAATGTCATAAAGATTTTCCTCAATATTTGATTCTAAGAGTTTTATGGTTTTAGCTCTTAAGTTCAGGTCTTTGATCTATTTCAAATTCCATTTTGTACGCAGTGTAAGATAAGGTTCATGTGGGGTTTTTTTTACATCCTCTTTTTGTTTCTGTCTTATGAGAAGTAAGGGGTTGAAATGATCCAGTACTAGGCATTGGTTCCAAAGTCACTAAAGAACTAGTTAAGGGGGCACTGGTCTCATGGCATGAGAGTGGGCCTCAGCTTTTTCATCTGTAGACTGGGAATAGTACTGCCCTCTGGAGTGGGTTGAATAATGTCCCCTAAAATTCATGTCCATCAGGAACCTCAGAATGTGACCTTATTAGGAGATAGGATCTTTGCTGATGTACTTAAAAATGTTGAAATGAGATCATACTTGATTTAGCATGGTCCTGGTGACTTTATAAGAAGGCCAAGTGAAGACAGAGGCAGAGATTGGAGTGATGCAGCAACAAGGGTACACATGCCAAGGATTGCCTGACAGCAGAAACTGGAGGAGGCAAGAAAGGATTCTACCCTAGAGGAAGCATGGTCCTGGTGGCAAAACTGTGAGAGAATAAATTTCTGTTGTTTTAAGCCTCCACATTTGTGGTAATTTGTTGCAGCAACCATAGGAAACTAATATACCCCCTCATGGAGTATTGAAATTATTACCATTATTATTTTTGAAACAGAGTCTCATCCGTTGCCCAGGCTGGAGTGCAATGGTGCGATCTCGGCTCACTGCAACCTCTGCCTACCAGGTTCAAGCGATTCTCCTGCCTCAGCCTCCCAAGTAATTGGGATTCCAGGCGCCCACCACCACGCCTGGCTAATTTTTGTATCTTTAGTAGAGACAGGGTTTCACCATGTTGGTCAGGCTGGTCTCGAACTCCTGACCTCAGATGATCCACCCACCTCGGCTTCCCAAAGTACTGGGATTACAGGTGTGAGCCACTGCACCGAGCCACTGCACCTGGCCGAAGTATTGAAATTATTAAGTATGAGATTTGTCAAGTGTTTATCACAGTGTTGGGCACATTGCCCAGGGCTTCTCAGGTCTCACTCGCAGCTGCCTACATCCATGACACAAAGCGGACCCAGCCATCACGTGCCAGTGTGCCCTCCCCAGTCCCACAAGTTCTCTGAGGTCTTGTTGGCTTAAACAGGTGCCTGGCACATCTGTCTCTCTACTAGAGAGAGTGGGGTTGACTGGACGTGAGTTTGAGCCTGGGGTTGGCCGCTGACTTGCCAGGTGACCTGGCTAAAGTCAGTTTCCTTCTCTGAATATTACTGCATCTGTAAGATTGTAGTAATGATAGAAATGGTGCCATCCTCCATGGGTTGCCAGGGGGATTTGACAAGGTAATGCAGATGACAGTGCTTGATACTGTGATCATCAGAGAGCTTGGAACCTTAGAGATAGTCTTATCCAACCAACTCAGTTTGCAGAATTAAAAAAAACAAGGCCCATAGAAGAAGAGTGACTTGCCCACAGCCACGAAGTGATCTACTAATACCTCCCCTGCCCCACTGACATCCAAATGAGGGAGGGAAAGTGCCTCAACTGCTGAACACTGGAACCCACAGATCCACCCCCAGTAGTACTTCCCCAAGCTCCAGAGAGGCAGCCCTAGAAGAGAGTGGGTTTCCAGCAGTCAAATTGAAGAAAGTATTTCAGGCAGTAGAGAGTGATCAACCATACCCACTGTTGCTGAAAGATCTAATAACAAGAGGACTGAGAGTGGACAAAGGTAGGGGCCAGCAAACTTTTTCTGTAAAGGACTAGATAGTGAATATTCAGCTTTGAGGGCCATACAGTCTGTTGCCTCTCTTCGACTCTGACCTGGTAGCACACAAGCAGTTATAGACAGTATGTAAATGAGTGGGTGTGGCTATGTGCCAATAACACTCTTATGGAAACTGAAACCTTTTTTGTTTTGTTTTGTTTTGTTTTTTTGATAAGGGTCTCACTCTGCTGTCCAGCCTGGAGTGTAGCGGTGTGATCACAGCTCACTGCAGTCTTGACCTCCGGGGCTCAAGTCATTCTCCTGCCTCAGCCTCCCAAGTAGCTGGGACTACAGGTGCATGCCACCATGCCTGGCTAACTTTTTATTTTTTGTAGAGATGAGATCTTGCTATGTTGCCTAGGCTGGTGTGGAATTCCTGTGCTCAAGTGATCCTCCCACCTTGGCCTCTCAACTTAAATACTAAAAAATGTCACATCATTTTCATGTGTCACAAAATATTCTTTGTTTTTCTTTTTCTCAACCATTCTTTGTTTAGGGGTCACATGAAAACAGGCAGTGGACGGGACTTGGCCCACTGGCCTTAGTTTGCCCAACCATGGTCTCAGCTTTTAGATGGATAGAAATGCCTTATCCTATCCCAGGCCAAGTACATTGAAAACTTGGAGAGTAGGGCCCTGGCAAACATAGTTTTCAAAGCTTCCCTGATACCCAGCAATTCATGTGTATACCCAAGAGAAATGAAAACACATGTCCAACAATAAGCTTGTATGTACATCCATGTTCATAGCAGCATTATTCACAATAGCCCCAAACTGGAAACAACCCAAATGTCTATCTACTGATGAATGGATAAACAAAATGTGGTATTATTATACAATTGAATAGTATTCAGCCATAAAAGACGTGAAATTCTGATTCATGGTAGAACATGAACGAGCCTCAAAAACATTACGCTCAGCGAAAGAAGCTAGACACAAAAGGCCACATAGTATATGGTTCCATTTATACAAAATGTCCACAATAGGCAAAATCTATAAAGACAGAAAGATTAGTGGTTGCCCGGGGCTGGAGAAGGGTTAATGTGGAGTGACTGCTTAATGCGTCTGGGATTTCCTTTTGGGATGATGGGAATGTTATAGAACTAGATGGAGGTGATAGTTGTACAATATTGCAAATGTAGTAAATGCCACTAAATTGTACACTTTTAAAGGGTTAATTTTATGTTACATGAATTTTACCTCAATTTAAAGGAAAAAAAAAAAAAAAAAAAAACACCTTCCTCAAAGATTCTGTCATGCTACTACGGTTGAGAAACAGGACCAGTGTGAGGAGACAGCAAATTGCAAAGCAAGTTGAACTCACATCTGGATTCAAAGTTCAGTGCTAAGGTGGACTCAGCATAGGATCTGTGAGGGGAGAAGGGATGGGTCCTGAGCCTCTCCTAGGCTGGGAACAGTATGTTCTTTTACGGCATGAGGGAGAAACTGGGGCCAGTCAGGTGAAGGAAGGAAGGGAAGTTATTCCAGACAGGTGGAAGGGTGGGGTCAGGGAGGTGACGATTGGGGGTCGGGAGGCAGTGCAGAAGGGAAGCTGGAATGAGTTAAGGAGTTATATAGGGAGGCAGGGGCCTGATCAGATCATGTGGGGCTGTGCAGACCATAAATAGAAATTTGGATTTACTGTGAGTGAGATGGAAGGCCTGGGACACGAGACTGGAGGGTTTTAAGCAAGGGAGCAACATGATCTGATTTACTTTTTAAGAAGCTTCCTGTGGTTGCTGGGTAAAAAAATGGGCTGGAGGAGGCTGCTGTGCAGTTATTCAGGGCAGGGATGAGTGTACACATTCAAGACTTTAGGAGACAGAGTTCTCAGGATTTGGTAACGGAGTGGGTGAGATCAGGGCAGGGGGGCAAATCTGCCTCCCAGGTTTGGGGCCCTAGCAACTGGGCGATTGGTGGTGCCATTTACTGAGACAGGGGAACACTTGTGGGAGGAGCAGAGTGGTTTGGGGGCTGGCAATGGGCAGTCCTGTTTTGGACATTGCAATGTGTCTGCAAAAGTTATTTTTGAACAAAATGTTATTGCTGTTAATTGGATGCCGCATTCCACATTTGTGTTCCGAAACATTTTCCAGGAGGTTTCTTGGGCTGTTTCAATTACATGAAAAGACTTAATTCAAAGAGACCAAATGTTGGTTTCTGTGGTTTGAGTCACCTGAGTGCTTACTTAGGGGAGACTTCACTAGGTAAGTTAAACACAGCCCTACTCTGCATTTGGGAAGTAAATGTTAAGTCCTGTTCCTACAGAGGTCAGGATTTGGAGAAGAAAATACTGCCTCGGAAATATTACAGAGACATACGTTATTTCTTGCCAAGTGTTTATGCAAATTCCATATTAACTCAACTGAGCACTGGAAAGAAATTTACAGAGCAGTCTCTCACATTAGGAAAACATGCAGGTATAAGGTTTTGCTCTGCCTGACTTGACACGCACGGGCTTCCTGAAGATGGATGGGTGTTCTGCATTTAGATTTCCAAGGAAGAGGACGCCTTCCCATGATAATGAGCCTTGAAACGAAGTCGTGACCCACCGGCCTTCGGCATCGTCTTCTTTTCTTTTGGGATCATAGTCACCATGGCCATCATTGCCAATATCATCGCCATCGTGTGGTTGTTGGTGGGTTAAGAAAAGTCCTCAAACCACCAGTGGGAATCCTAACAGGAATAAAAAAAGATGAGATGATTTATTTCTCATTGAAATTTGTTGCATTACATTACAGAGGGCCCCCTTTGGGAGTGAGCAGGTCTGGTGCATGTAAGACGGAGGGATTGGTGGTGGTGGTGGTGGTGGTGGTAGGGGGATGTCGCTCTGCAGAAACACGGCAATGGAAGATGACCCTGCTGTCTGTGAAGCCACTGCTCCTGACCCACCACACTGGGCTGTTTCTGGGACAAGCAGGCAGAGCAGAAGAGTCTCCATGCCACCTCACCCTTCCTCCTGAGCCCAGCCAAGGCATTCCGGGACTTCTGCACTGCCTCCTCCCTCTCCTGCCCCACCCCTGTCTCTTCGCCACTCTCCCCAGCTTTTCGCTCGAATGGCTCCTGTCACCTAGAGCATCATTTTCTGGGTTCTGTACAACAGAGTCTTGAGACTCCGTGGAGAAATGAAACCATGGAATGTCAACCTGATCTTATCACCCGGCAGCACCACTCCATCTCCGCTTAAAACTCCTGGGGGTTCATGGTTGCCTTTGAGTAGAGTCCAGTCTTCACCTGGTCTACAAGTCCTGTGTGACCTGGTTCCTTTCATTTCAGCGGTTCTCTCAGAACACGCTGCCGTCTGCAGGCCAAACCGTTACTTCTTTGAGTCAACTCTACGCTGACCGTACACTGGGAGAGGGGCCGTACCTCTGTGTTCCCATCACACTGGGTGCTCAACTCTTTAACCATCTGCATCAGACAGAGTATAATTGCCTATCATCTGTCTCCAGCCTTGGACTTTCTTTTCGTCTCAGCCCTGAGAATTGGGCCAGGCCTACACACCCAGCCCCTCTTTTCTATGACAATTGCTACCTCCACCACGTCCACACCAGGAATCCAGACTCCTCTCTCCAGCCCCACAGTCCCCAGTCTCTCTCCCTACATGGTGCCAGTAGCACTCCAGTAGACCAGTTCCCTGTTGCTGCTGCTTCATGCTTAAAAGCCTTCAGTGGCTCCTCCTCTGTTCTCAGAACCAAATCTTTGCTCATTAGCATGGCATTCAAAGCTCTGCCTGTCCTTGCCATACTATAAAATCCAAGAGAGGAGAGAATAAGAAGGCTGTGGAGAGGCGGAGGAGACTAAGGGATAATGTGCTTACAACTCAAAAAGTATCAGAGGAAACATTGTTTTAGAATGCATTTTTAGGGCTTCTGTTTACATATGGGGTGTGTTCCAAAAATTCCTATGTATCTGGGCCTGGGTGGGCTGAATATTGTTGGGATAGCCAGTGGTTCCCAGACTTGTGAATTTCACCAATGAGTAGATTTCTTTTCTTTTTTCTTTAGTTTGGGGACGGGTAGGGTTGCCAACTTCTTACTTTGCAAAGTAAGCATATTAAACAAAACACTACTATCTTTTCATGAAATAAAAGGACTTTTGTATACCAAAACAAGTTCATGATTTCAAGATAAAGGTCAATACTCTAGCCTTATGGGGGGAAGCTTGCCACGACAACCTCATTTTTTTTTTTTTTTTTGTCTCCTGGGACTGGTGAAACTTGACTGTGAAGTCAGGCATTTGGGAAAATTGCAGTAGAGCCCGGTGCGCCCCTCCCTGCAGCCAGTCAGGGCTGTTTGCATGTCCATTGAGATGCAAGTGAGTCTTTGTCTCTTAATTGCCCCGCACGGTGGGGAGTGAGGTGGGAAGGGAGGGTGTGCTGTCCCTTTGTACCCAGCCAGGGCCCTCCAACAGGTTTGGTTAGAGGGATTAAATTCCAAGGCTGTGAGAGGGTAGAGGAAGCCCTGAGCACCAGCAGAGCTGCTTTGGGTCCCAGAGCACAGAGGGTGACCTTGAGTTGGGGCAAAGCCTTTGTTCCTGCCCTCATTCCCACGTGGACTCCCTCTTGGCTCTGGCCCCTAAGGATCAGTGGCGGGGTGGATATTAAGGAAGGGGTGCTGTCAGCATGGACAGTGGTGCTCACCTGATGGGCATCTTCAGCAGTGGTGGGGGTGGTGGCAAGGCCCTTCCACAGCTGATTTTGATCATGGGTGAGGGAGGCCACCCAGGGACTCAGCTGATTTGGAATTTATTATTACTTTGTATTTTTCTGTGCTCTACACATTCAGAGAACATTCTCTAGTAATGTATTACAGAAACAATTCCTGAAAGTATAGTCCTTGGGGAATTTGGAACACATAGTCCCATGGATACCTAGCTGGCCCACATAATCCTATTTACCTGAGATTGGTGTAAACCCACCCAGCCCTGTATGTGTGCCTCTCCTGTTCTCCCAGGCCACCCTGGTGGCTGTGTGTCCATGCCACACTTCTCTGCTTGGGCCACAGCTTGGGAAAGGTGAACATTTTTAGGAGAGTATCTTGTCAGGCCAAATGGTTTTCCAATTGGTGGCAGTTTTCAGGGTATGAGAAGTTCAGGGAGTAACTAGGTGTAGCAAGAGGGTGGGAATAAGGAAGTAGTGTGTAGACGAGGCAGGCTTGGGCAAGAGTGGGCCCCAGAGCCCATGTGCATTGGTAGTGGGGAGTATATACGATGTGTGGGGGCAGGGAACACAGATAATCGCTTTGACAATTTTTTTTTAATAATAATTTTTTTTTTCTCCTGGGACATACACTTCCAAACTAAGTTGGGAAGGTGCTCCCAGATCATGGTTTTTAAGTGTACAATTTCCTGTATGTAAATCAACTGCATGTTCAATTGCAATTCAGCAGGATAGTAGTACCTGACTGAGAGGCTCACTAAGTTCCCAGCAGGTCTTCAGTCTGGCAGGCAAATCAGCCCTCTCTGACTCACATTAACCTAACTTACAAGAGACTGAGAGACAAACCAGGACCAAGATAAGTTATTTTACAAAGGGAGAGGTATCTGGTAGGATAATGGATCTCAGACATTTGCAATATTTTGATTAAGGAAGAACTATTTGTGAGTATCTTTTGGCCACCATGATAAACATTGTCCTTTTCTTTTGGTTCTTATTCCTGTGTCAGAGCAGGTCATCTATGCTCATTTCGCGCTTTAGAGGAGCACACTCTTAAGGTCCTGTATCATCACCTGCTAATGTTTATCCTTGTCATGGTTCAATCTGCTAGAACGGAGATCAGCAAACCTTTTCTGTAAAGGATTAGACAGTAAATATTTTAGGCTTTGTGGGCCCCATGGTCTCTATCACAACTGTTCAACTCCACTGTGGTAGCACAAAAGCCACCATAGGGAATACAGAAATCAGTGGGCATGGCTGTGTTCTCATAAACTTCATGAACCCTGAAATTTGAATTTTGTATCACTTTCTTATGTCATAACATTCTTTCGATTTTTTTCAACCATTTAAAAATGCAACTACTTTTAGCTGGAAGGCTGTACAAACAGCTGGGAATAGGATTTAGCCCATGGGGTGTAGTTTGAGAACTACTCTTGAGCTAGAAGATAGCTCAAGCTAGAAGATACAATGCATATGGCATTGTCGCACATTTAGCAGCTAGAGTTTCAGTTGCGTGTGACTGTCCACTGCATATTGATTGACATGGCCTCAAACTTAGAGGTTACATGCTTCTCACCTCCTCAGTGTAGATGAGTGTGTATGCATCAGGGTTTACCCATCAGATCCTGAGACTCCTAAAGACCAGAAAATCTAGTGCCCTCCTGGTACAGATGGTACCACCGGGGCCTATGGAATGGCTCAGGGCACTTAATAGCAAAGGTAGGGCATGCCCACAGCCTGGAATAGACAGTAACTTCCTGACCTCACAGTGGCCACTATTTCCTTAGTCGTTACTAGATTAACCAGTAATGGTCCCTGCCCTCTGTCGCTGTGTGCAGGCTGTTCACTTTTCACCATCTTGTTTAATCCTTAGCACAACCTTGTTGGGTTTAGCCAGGATTTGTACCCGGTCTGGCTCTACAGCACACATTCTTAGCCATTCACCAGCTGGGGTTCCTAGTGGTACCCTCCCACTTTGACACATGAGACTAGACCTGGCTAACTCCCCAACCTCAAGGAACCTCCATTTTGCTGCTTTTCCCTCGTTAATTATTAGGTGATATATATGGCATTGTGAGGAATAAATATTAAGGGTAAAATGCCTGGAATATGCCATGGTATAGTCCATGTTCAATAACTACCAGCTATTTCTGTTAATTCTCCAGCTAGAATGGAATAATGTTCCATTCATAGAGTAATTAATGCCCTGAACCTGGGAAGATCCACTCCTCATATGCTGTTTTGTTTCTGCAGCCCTAAGATTCAGGGCAATGGATGTAAGCCACACGGGAGATTTCGGCTTCATCTCAGGGAGACCCCAGACCCCACTGTTCCTTAGGGGTTGGTGGGAGTCACTGAGGGGGCTGCCTAAGGCAGCAAGGGCTGGGTTGGGGGCACAGGAAAGCTGCCTAATGGATACTGAGGGGAGGTGGTAGTAGCCGCCCTCTAAGGAGGATGTGGCCCTGGGCAGCCCGTGTCGCATAATGGCAGGGACAGGCTCACGCCGCCACTCCGGAGAGTAGCAGCGCTTCCTCTTTGTGTTGGAGAGCCGGTTGCAGCTGGGGCACTTCTAGGGAGCGTTCCCACGAACTGCTGCAGCGGGCATTTTGCTGGTCGGCACAGTATCGAAATCTGATTTCTTCGGGTCTGGGAGGCGGACTCCGTTTGCAGGGGTTCATGGGAAAGGACTGCAGCGCGTTTGTCGGTCATTAAGCACGTTTTTCAGATCGACTCTGCAGATATGAACTTGCACTTTCAGCGCATTCATCACAGCCTCGGGAGAGCTGACCCAGTCCCTACCCCTAGTCTCCCGAGCCCGCGGCGCTTCGGCTCCGGGACGCCCCCCACCCTCCCTTCTCGCCCACCTGGGCGCCCCCGGCCTCGTTTCCTCGAGACGTGTCACTGTTTATCTACCGCAGCCAGTCACGAAAACGGCCCTTTTCTTCAGTCTCCGGTCAGGGTTCCACTATGGCCTCCTGCAGGGAACGGCGGGTGGGGACAGAGTGCGGGGCTCCTTGCTGGACGGTGGCTGGAGGGGCCCCGAGGGAACAACCCTTCAGCGGGAGAACACCAAGGCCAGAAGGGGAAGAGCCCTGCTCAAGGTCACCCGGGAGGAAATCGGTGCCCACCGGCGCTGCCGCCTCCGGCTCTCCGGCACTGGTGACTCACTGCTCCAGGTCCGCGGGGCCACCTCCTTCAGTCTCGAGGACCGGGGTGGGACAGGGTCTGCGGACCGCGCGCTGCCGCTGGACCCAGCCCAACCCAACCCAGACTTCCCCACCCACCGGGAGCCGGCGGGCCACGCCCCTCGCCCGGAGCCCCGCCTCCAGACCGCGGCCCCGCCCCTGATACTGCAGCCTCGCTCCGCCCCCCCGGCCTAACCCCAGCCGGGGCGCCCTCAGGCGCCGGCTCTCTAGCACGCTCGACCTCCACTCTCCCGGGGCCGCGCCGCGCGCGCGCCGGCTTTGGGCGGGACCCTGCAGAGGCGGCGGGGCTCCTCCTCCCGCTGCTCCTCGGCCTCTCCTTCGGGCGCTCTCGCGCTAACTGTGCTCCTCCGGGGCCCTCCGCCTGCTCCCAGCCATGGTGGCCTGGCGCTCGGCGTTCCTTGTCTGCCTCGCTTTCTCCTTGGCCACCCTGGTCCAGAGAGGTAAGGCGGGCGGGGGGCGCGCGGGGACCCCGCCCTGTGGGCCCAGGGGTCGCTCTGCGCATGAGCGGCACGGTCCCCGCCTTGCGGGCCTGCGGTGGCTGCCACCGGCTGGCCCGGCTGTCCGAGGCGGAGCGGCGGGGGTCCGAGCCCCGGGCCCGTGGGGGTTGACTCCGCCGCGGTCGGAGTAGCCGGAGAGGAGGGCTGACGCTGGGCTGGAAACAGCGGATGGGCCCCCTAAAATCCTGAACGAGCAGGTGTCACCACTGGTGACAACAGCTGTCCCCAGGAGTTTACCTTTGAGAAAACCTTAAAGAGAGCAGTCATTTTCGAAACTTGCTGCGAGGTCACAGACCGCGGACGCACCTAGGTGGATTCCTAGCTCCTTTTGTCGGTATCACAGCGGGCATGGGGTGTGGGGGTGGGTCAGCGAGGTGTAGGTCTAACCTAGAGCTTAGGTCTAAGCTCTCTAGGTGCTTCTGCCGTCCGCTTCAGTTTTTGAGACTTTGGTCATGTTTTGCCAAGGAACAGGAGAGAGAAATCCCGCTGAATCAAGGAAGCACGTTTCTTAGACCCTTTGCTGCTGAAAATGTGGTCCAGGGCCCAGCCGCATAGGCATCACCTGGGAGCTTGTAAGAACTGCAGCATCTCACGCCCCGCCCCCGACCTACTGAGTCTCATTCTGCATTTCAACTAGATCCGTGGGTAATTCTCTGGCACATTCAAGTTTGAGAAGCATCTTATTAGAATAAATGCAGTCTGTGGTTAAAAATAGGGTCTTAAACATGTACCAACAGAATCTTCTTACACTTATTTATATCCTATGTCCCCATCAGAAAAAGGGATTAAGGGAAACACTGTAATTGAACATGAATTATGTTCCGAGCTTCCTGACAATAGAAGTGAACCCAGATGGCGGAAAATATATGAGCTCAGGAAACACACACACACACACTCTTTGTCCTAGTACTGAGTTCTAGTAAGATTTGTGTCACATAAAGGAACACTGGAAAACAGTGGATGGTACTAGCCAAGACACTTTTGCAAAAGATGCAGAAATGTTTTTCATGTGGGTACCCCACCTGGAGTTGATTCACGAAGAGCCACTTAACATTCTACGGAGGTGCCAGCTCTGTTCTAGGAACTGATGATGCGGTAGTGAACAAAACTGAGATTGTCTTCATAGAGCTTACGTCCTGGTCCGGGCAGAAAACAAGCCCAACATTGAAATCTATATATATTGTCAGTGCTATGGAGAAAAATAAAGGAAGTTATAGGGGTAAAGAGTTGTTGAATTTTCTTTTTCATTTTCCCTTTAGGATAAAATTTTTATTTTGTTTACAATGCATTTGTGGGAAAAAGTATGATCATTTGATTGACTTGCATCTAATGACATGGAAATCTTGAAAGTGGAAGCACAAAAAAAGTTAGAAAAATGATACTCCCTTCAAAGCTGTCTTCTGAAAGTCTTCAACATGCTGTGCATATTGAGAAGGTGGGGAATAGAAATGATTGGGTCTTGCCGGCACGGTGGCTCAAGCCTGTAATCCCAGCACTTTGGGAGGCCGAGGTGGGTGGATCACGAGGTCAGGAGATCGAGACCATCCTGGCTAACACGGTGAAACCCCGTCTCTACTAAAAATACAAAAAATAAGCCGGGCGTGGTGGCGGGCGCCTGTAGTCCCAGCTACTCAGGAGGCTGAGGCAGGAGAATGGCATGAATCCGGGAGGCGGAGCTTGCAGTGAGCCGAGATTGCAGCCACTGCACTCCAGCCTGGGCGACACAGTAAGACTCCGTCTCAAAAAAAAAAAAAAAAAGAAAAAAAGACTGGGTCTTAGATTTGCACGTTACAATTGTTGATTTAAGAGGTGGAGAGGGGACAGAACCAATACATCTGTTTTACAGATGAGGAAACAGAGGTACAGAGAGATGAAGTAACTTGCCTTAGGTCACACAGCGATTGCCAGAATTGTGATTTGATGCAAGGTTTGTCCGACTGCACAGTCACTGCCTTTAAGCCCTAGGCATATGCCCTTGCACCTGGAGGTACCCCACTTCGACCACTTAGGGACCATGGGAAAATGAGTTCCCCGAATTTGTTTGCTCATCCATATGATGCCTGACAATCACAAAGGTTTTGAGGGGACCAGGCTTAGATCTGCAGCCTTGCTGCCAGCTACCACTCCATCTCCTGAGTGCTTCCTGTGTGCCAGGCACTTCACATATATTGCTTTAAATTGCCTCGACCATTTTACAGACTAGATATTATCATTAGCTTTCAGATGAGGGGACCCTGGTCACATAGCTCAGAAGACATAGAGCCAGGATTCCACCCAGATAAGACTGCTACCCAGCGATCTTTTATTTTTAAATTAGAAAACCCGAAACAGAAGAAGCTTTGGTTTCAAGATAAGGGCCCAGTTTTCTGGACTTTTTTTTTTTTTTTTTGAGATGGAGTCTTGCTCTGTCGCCCAGGCTAGGGTGCAGTGGCGCGATCTCGGCTCACTGCAAGCTCTGCCTCCTGGGTTCACTCCATTTTCTTGCCTCAACCTCCCAAGTAGCTGGGACTACAGGTGCCCGCCACCACACCCAGCTAATTTTTTGTATTTTTAGTAGAGACGGGGTTTCACTGTGTTAGCCAGGATGGTCTCTATCTCCTGACCTCATGATCCACCCACCTCGGCCTCCCAAAGTGCTGGGATTACAGGTGTGAGCCACCGCGCATGGCCAACAGTTTTCTGGATCTTTTGTCCAAAATAAGATAATATGATTTTTGCATTGGTGGTCTTCTCCGGGATCCTGGTAGTCTCAGAGCTGTTGCATCAAAATGACAAACACAAAGCAAGTGCCTCAGGCACCAGTTGACTCTCCTTGAGCCCTGGAGTGGCATTTTGTGTAGGCCTGCTGAGAGCCACTTTATTCTTGGTCCTGGTCCTCAGTAGTGGGATGTGGCTGAGAAACGCTGGCAGACCTCAGAAAGCACGCAGAAGCAGCCCTTCATAATCTGAGAAATCCTTCCAGGCTCTAACAAGTAGCAAGTAGAGGCTGACTTTAGGCTCCCAGGAGTTTAAAGGGCGGTTAACAAGTTATCTTTGTTCTAATTACAAAGGGCTTTTCAGTCTGCTGTGTATTTTACCAGTTCCAAAAAGTCCTCCGAACACAGGTATGCTTCCTGTATGTGCCTCCAGAAATGGGAAGCTGTTCTTTTGAGCAGCAAGGAGAAGACTGTCAGTGATGTGGATGGGTAGTAATCTTAACAAGAGCTTCATTTCTGGAACACCTATAGGCCAGGCCCTCAGTGCCTTGCTGCATTACCCTGACCTGTGGCACTGTGACCCATGTCACCTCCTGATGTCCATAGTGGCCCTTTTACATAGAGTCTTAAAGGTAACTGGTTGGTAACCCACTTCTCAGATGAAAAATATGGGGCCCAGAGAGGTTTAGGAACTTAATCAAGATAACGCTTAGCTGAATTGGATTTGAACTCAGGTTTATCTGCATAACCAGAGCAGAAGGTGTGAACACAGATACCTTCAGGGATCAGGCAGGTAATAGGAATATGAGAAGTGGTCAAGAATAAGCACGATGGAGGAGCTGAGCACAGTGGCTCATGCCTGTAATCTCAGCACTTTGGGAGGCTGAGTTGGCCAGATTACTTGAGCTCAGGAGTTGGAGACCAGCCTGGGTAACATAACAAGAGCCCCATCTCTACAAAAAATACAAAAATTAGCCAGGCATGGTGGCGTGTGCCTGTAGTCCCAGCTACTCGGGAGGCTGAGGATTACTTGAGCCTGGGAGGCAGAGGTTGCAATGAGCCAAGATGGTCCCATTGCGCTTCAGCCTGGGTGACAGAGTGAGACGCTGTCTGAAACAAAACAAAACAAACACACACACAAAACAAAAGAATAAAAGAATAAACGTGATGAGCATGTTGGCAAGCCACCAAGTGCCTGCTCCCTTAAAGAGAGGTCCAGCTTACACATGGAGTATAGGCTTTAAAGCACACCTGCCCAGTGCTGCCGTGACTCTGTCCCATGCGCCTAACTGCTCAGTGCTACGGTTCCTCATCTGTGAAATAGGGATAACAGCACTATCTACCTCATGGGGTGGTTATTAGGATTAAATGAGTAGAAACGTATAAAGCATTTAGCACAGCACCTGGCTCCAAGTGAGCAAGACATTCCAAGCCACATTTTAAAAATAAGTGAAGCAAACCTTGAAAGGCATCATTTATACAAAATGTCCAGAGTTGGCAAATCCATAGAGACAGAAGGTAGATTAGTGGTTGCCAGCAGCTGGGATGAAGGGGGATGGGGAGTGTCTGCTTAATGGGCAAGGGGTTTCTCTTTGGGCTTATGACAATGTTCTGGAACTAGATAGAGGTTATGATTGCAAAATATGTGAATGTACTAAAAACTATGAATTGTACACTTTAAAAGGCTGAATTGTGGCCGGGCGCAGTGGCTCATGCCTGTAATCCCAGCTTGTTGGGAGGCTGAGGTGGGTGGATCAACTGAGGTCAGGAGTTCGATACCAGCCTGGCCACCATGGCAAAACCCCATCTCTACTGAAAATACAAAAATTAGCCAGGCATGGTGGCACACGCCTGTAGTCCCAGCTACTTGGGAGGCTAAAGCATGAGAATTGCTTGAACCCAGGAGGCAGAGGCTGCAGTGAGCTGACATCATGCCACTGCACTCCAGTCTGGGCGACAGAGCGAGATTCTGTCTCAAAACAAAAAAAAAGGGCTGAGTTGTATAGGAACTATATTTTCAGTTAAAAATTCACTGGGTACTGACTTGTACACTTTAAAAGGGTGAATCGTATAGGAATTACATTGCCATTTGAAAAAATGCACTGTATAATCCAAGCAGAATAAGTGTGAGAAGTGGCAACATGTTACCCCTGGGTTGGGGTTGTTTTCAAGGTGCTAGAGCTTGGTTCAGGGGGCGTAAGAGCAAAGTGGGCCCCATGTGCTGGCAGTGCTGAGATGCCAGGCTGG